CAAAGTTTTCCATCTTGCGCTCATCAGGATATTTCACAAGAATACCAATTCAAAGGGAAAACCAATATTTATATTCCACGAGCAGAAAGTGCTGATTGGTTGGCATGTGGACTTGGTAGATGCATAACCATGGACAATGTACCAGTTAATAATGATTGACCATTTAATTGCCAGGCTTTATTTAAATTTTGAACTAGAAGGCCGATTCTGATTGGTCAGGATATTGTCGTAAGAAATGAACCAGGAAATGGCTGTTTGTTGAGTTGAAAGATGTGCAGTGCATTTACCTGTTGTTACTGTCTTCTAAAAATCCAAGTATAATGCAACAACAGGCTCCCCTTAAAACATACTGCATGTTATTCCTTCAAGCAATTCCAATAAATAATTTCCTTTTCACAAAACAATGCTGATTCTTCCTGATTAGCTTGAGATTTTCCAAGTGCCCTGTTGTAATCTCCTTGCTGATAGATTCTAACACCTTCCCAACAACAGATGTCAAGCTAACTGGTTTATAGTCTCCTGTTTTCTGCCTCCTTCCCTTCTTGATATTTGCTAATTTCCATTCAATTGAACTTTCCCAACAGTAATGAATTTCGGAAAAAACACCAACATGCTCCCTATCTCATAAAGCCACTTCCCTTTAAGACCGTAGAGTGAAGTCCATCAGGACCCAGAGAACTATCAACCCGCAATCCTCCATTAATTTGTTGAGTAATACTTCCCTTGTGTTCATAATTTTACCAAGTTCCTCTTTACCTTCAACCTCCTAATTTACAGGTATTAAAGGGATTTTTAAATATATCCTCTATAGCGAAGGCAGAAGCAAACTATTTATTCATTACATCAACCATTTCTTTATTACCTCATATTATGTCACCACTCGTAGCCTCTACAAGACCAAACCTCACTTTACTTAAATAAAACCAAAATACTGTGGATGCCGCAGATCTGAAACAGAAAAAAAAGTACTGCAGAAACTCTGCAGGTCTGTCAGGATCTATGGAGAGAGATAAATTTAATGTTTAGCGTTCAATGACTCTTCTTTGCAACACACTTTACACTGACTTTATTTACTTGTACTTTTCCTTTTGAGGTGCCAACAAAAACTTTTGCTATTTGTTATTATATTTCTAGCTAGCTTCTTCTGATGATCTAATGTATTAGTCTTGATTATATTTTCAGCCATTCTCTGCTTTTCTTTGTGTTCTGACCAGACATCTGATCCATTATTCACCTTTGCTTCAGTTTGATGCTCTCCTTTATATCTTTAGTTAACCATAGATCATAGGTCCTTTCCTTGGAATTGTTTTTCATTGTAGGAATTAACTTACTGTGAGTATTTTCAAATGTTGCTCCATATGTTCGCTTCTCCACTGATCTATTTCCTAGCCTAATATCCCAGATAAATTTGGATAGCTCAGCTTTCATGCCCTCATAGTTGACCGCATTTAAGTTTCAAATACCAGTCTTAGACCCAATTTTATCCCTTTCAAACCGGATGTAAAATTCAATAATATTATATTTGCCACTACCTAAACATGATGCCAATAAACCTATTGTGCATCTCCAATATTTTCTGTTAAAATTACATTTCTACATGTCCATATCACTTATGCTATTTTGTCTTTTATACCTGATTCCTGAGAGAAAATTAAACTTTGAAATCTTTTAAAGGTTTTGCATTCTGACCATGTTGGTGCCACTAAATATCTTCTTATCCCATGCTCTTCCTTGAAATTCAGTCTTGTTGTAACTTGGTTTTGCTAATAATAGAAAATCACCAGACCAAAAATGCTTCTTTAACTCTCCTTTAACTTTAGCAACATCATGTTTCTTTCAAAATTATTTCTTGCAGTGGGGCTGGTAGATGAAATCAGATTATGATACTAGTGTATGTACCATGTAGACATTTCAGTAAGATGTCTTGTTATTTTTAACACGGATAGTATTTCAATTTATTTTAAATTGGCTCAACCTTTGTTCAAATAACGGCCAGAGAAATTTCTCCCAGAACTCATGAAAGCTTTTGTTACTATAATTGAAATGACAGTAAAAAGATGACACAGCATCAAAATACAAAACTGGCTGGTAATTGTATTTGCAGTCAAATATTAAGCACAAGTTCAAATAGTGCTTTTCTGCTTCTGTTGAGGGACAACTGAGACTGATATGTGTTCTGCTAATACAAAGTAATAATGAGAAATGTGGGAACTAACATTTATTTGTATGAACAGGTTTTTTGAAATGTTTCAAACATTGCTGTTTTTTTTTAAATTTATCCGCATGCCAGTGAGTGAAGAAAAATGTTCCACTGTGATATTGCCACTTTTAAGTTTAACAACTTATCATCGTGTGCATTAATCTTATTTATTTTCTAAACTTTAGATACTACGTATTGAAGGATTCCAGCAGTGTTTAAACATGTGGGGTGCGAGAGATTGTACTGAAATAAGATTTGGGTAAATAAAAATAATGCTGTTCTCAAGTCTGTAAATGCAGAGCACATTTGGGAGAACTGGCATTGTATGGTAGTAACTTCTATTTTGCCCCTCTCTGCAGCATGTATTTTGCACCTTCATTCATTGTTTTCCTTTTCATGTGAGGAGATACTGCAATGGACAGGCACATCTGTCTTCTCAAACTGCTAACAAGGCTTAGGTATAGCTTGTACAGTGTCCATTAGATCCCATTGACCAGCTGTGAATATGAAACCTGGCTCCTTGCGAGAGTCACATAATGCAATAAAATGGAATCAGATTGTCATCTAACTCTTGATGTAAGTTGCCACTTTATGCAAAGCATAAAGCATAAAGTTCTACTTGTGCATAAACACAATAATGGCATGTTGACAGTCTTAAAACAACCATCAGGCTCCATTATATCTTCATTGATTATATTTTCAACATCACACAATTTGAAAGTTGTTCAGGGACCAAATAAAAGCTGAAGAATGTTGTCCCTATTTTTTTCAGGTAATACAAATTATCTAAATCTATAACTGACAAACTGGAAATATCTTTTGAATATGCCAATTTCAAATTCAATTCCCCACTTTGCAAGGCGGAAAACATTTTAAAGTAAATATATCGGTCAACTTGGGTTTTGAAACGCGGACAAAGTTTAGACGAAAGACAAAAAGTTTGGAAACTCTCAGCGGGTCAGGTACCACCTGTTGAGGGCTTAGCCCGGTAATGTTTTCATGCGTGAATCCTCATTCCAGTGAACTGCAGCACAGCCACCAGATGGCAGTAGATATACCATTCTGTTTAGCATGTTGTAAGTTCTTCGTTTGTCCCAAGCACATTAACAGTTTTACTTAAACCTACCTTCATTCCTTTCAATGCTGAGGTAGAATTAAGTTATCGAAACCTACTAATTATAAAATGGTTTAGTTTTGTGTAACAGACTTTGATTTCACAGTGTTTTATTTGAGTGACTAGTCAATTTTTGGGTGACATTTTTCAGCAACCATTTATTACTCCATTTTGACTACGTATATCTAATTGTGCATCAGTAATTTGTGGTGGTCTTTTGTTTACCAAACTGAAGCATTTTGTTCGTCGTTATTTAATGTTTTCGGTATTACGGAACAAACTTTTTTTTGCATTACTTTTATTATTCCTGGCAATTTAGTGTTGTGAATAAAACATTTGAAAAAATAAATAAGTTCACGCAAACGAGCAAAATCTGGATTTAATGTGAACGTTTGCAGGAGGCATGGCTGATATCGAAGATGCACAGTTGGCTACCGTGGCATTGACTCCCTTGCCGATCAATAAGCTATTTGTTTGCGTCTAAATACCCCGAAAACTCTGAATGTGATTCCTAGGTGCAACCTTTTCAGTGGATGTTTCTGAGGCAGAAGCTGTTCTCTCGAAGCTTCCTCTAAATGCGTGTGTGTTCCTTATTTTAATGGATCCGGCGGCTGGTAATTTGTCGGTCCAAAAAATAAATGCCAAAATAAGGGAAAGCGCACAACCGCTGGAAGGGGTTAAAACCCAGCCACTCTGACACCATTGTATAGATTCATGTTGCGAGAGGGTTATTGATTGTAACAATCTTGAGTTATCAGCCCGCGAGATGCTGCTGAACATACACAATAAATGGGAGAATTTTCTAGATAAACATCGCCTCCACCTCTTGAACACGGCCATTGACAAATCATCGTGTAGAAGATGACAGTTGGAAATGAATTGAGCATTTTATATAACAGGAGCAAGGCATTGAATTATATCCACGGAAATATAACTAATTATTGCCCCGTTGTATTGAATTGGAGCACTCGGTCTCTGCCTGTGTCACTAGGTATCAGCTAGCAGTCAAATATTACAACACTCTTTGTTCTTTAACGTATAACGATGAATAAATAAATCTTTATCATAACTACCTTTTATCACCATTAAGAAATCGATAGGAAAACAACAGCAACTGTTCAGCTTTTCTCTCAACACCAATTTTCCGTTTTCAAAACCTCAAAATCCGTGACAATGATTTCAGGGGAAATGAGGTGACATCCTACAATTTGCAATAAAAAATAATCAGCATCGGTGTGGCTGTGGGGGAGGTCGAGATATTTGCGGAAGATGCGCTTTCAAGGCAAAAGGTGAAACTGCAAATGCATTCTTTGTGCGGAGCAAACATGATCACAAATCGAATTGAACAAAAAGCAAAATCATCTCTGGCAATTTTACTGGGGGGGGGAGGTAGTGGAGTGCAATTGGAAAATGATTTAGTTGGGGAAGAGGTTGAGGAAATAGAATTGAATAGAAGGGGCTGGGGAGAAAATCTGATTAATGCAATCAGTAACGAGCGCTGAGGGGCTGCGCTGATCTGCATCAGTCGCTGCTCCTGTTCAGTCAGTAAGCAGTAGCAACCAGTGTGAGCAGGACTGGGAGAGGGAGTGGTTGGAGCAAACCCAGCAGCAGCAGCAGCAGTGTCTGTCCATCTCCTCCCTTTGGTAGAAGGACTTCTTTTTTTTTACCCCCCCCCCGTCTATTTTACCCCTTGAGAAAAACTACAATCAGAAATCCACCTCTGATTGATGTTTGTGTGTGTGTGTGTGTGTGTGTGCATGTATGTGACTGGAATCCCCTGCTGCTGCAGGGAAAGAGAGATATAAGGAGGCGACCAGCAACAATCTGTTCGAAAGAGAGGAAAAGGAAGAAGATCCAGAACTACTATTCTACTGGCATTTTTTAAATTTAAAAGTCCCCTTCTGAGCTTCTGGACACAAGATTGGGGGAGAGACAGGGAAGGGACATTGTAAACCAAAACAGTCCATTATTTTGTTTTTCCTTCCCCCTCCCCTCAGGATTATAAACCTGACTGATGGGAATTTGCTCTGGGGATTATTAATTTGTCCGTGCGTCAGTTGTTGTGAGGAGAAGTGTTGAGAAGAAGCTTTTCTCTCTCTCTCTCTCTCTCTGAGAAAGCTGTCGGTTGCCATGGTGTCTCCGGGCCTGGCGGAGGGCCTGCTCCTCCTCCGCCGCCGCGGCCTTTCCCTCTCCCCCCGCTGCTAAAGCCATGGCCCGGGGAAACGCCTCCTTCTCCTTCTCCTCCTCCTCCTCTTCTTCTTCCTTCACCGCCACCTCCAGCCGCCGGCACTCCGCGGCCCTGCTGAAGATGGATCCCGTCATCATCCCCATCGACGCCGAGACCATCTGCGACAGCAACGACCAGCGCATGTGGTGGGCCTTCCTCGCCTCGTCCATGGTCACCTTCTTCGGCGGCCTCTTCATCATCCTCCTGTGGAGGACCGTCCATTACCTGTGGGCTGTCTGCTGCCACTGCGGCCTCAAGAATAAGGTAAAGATTCTTTGTTTTTTTTGGGGGGGTGTGTGCTGTGGGTGGGGGGAAGCGGACGCCGACCTTCTCAATAACATGTTCTCCTTCAAGACTGTTCATTTCCATCAACTTGTCATTTAAATTCTGCCGCCCCCCCGTATTGAACAGGTTCCTCTCTCTCTTATTCCTCTCTCGTTTCTGAGGGAGAATTTGGTGCAAAAATGCTTCTATTATCCACTAGGAGTCGTGAATAAAAGCGAAACTCTTTTGCTGTTTATTTTGTTGGAGGCTTGCTTTACTGCACGGGCTTTAATATTACTGTGGCTGCCTGTTTTTAAAATGACTGAGCGGCTGCACAGGATTTTGCACTCGCTAAATGTTCAATGCACACACGCGATTGCCACCTCGATCTGGTTTTGGAGTTTAATAAAGTTCCAGTGGCGCTGGAATAATCCACTTGTGGGTCATTTTTCTTATCATGGTTTGTATTCTGACGTTGAGGATTGTCAAGATGCGATAATGCATTGTATGATCGAATAGATTTCAACGAAGAAGGCTGCATTATGGACGCAGGTCCTGATTTCTAATCAACTCTCTATGCCCCTCTCTTTCGTACTGTTAAGAGTAATGCCACGGTTATTGGGTGCAAAGTCTCTGAGGTAATGGATGTAAAACTCCCAATGTAGACTCGCTTTGTAGATCACCTAACCCCCTTTCAATGGTAATGATGAGCATCAGATTTTTTTTTCTGTCTGAATGCATATGACTGCTATCCTGCAGTACAACCAGAAGGCATTGCTGGGAGTGCATTAGTGCTGTCTGACAGAATATCAAACCAGCCACCTGTGAAGTGATATAAAATAGAATTTGTACGCTGTAGCTTTAGTACTGGGCTGTAGGTTTCAATACAGGATTGTCACTCTCTGCTTTGCCAGCTCCTTTCATGAGTTCAGTACTCAGTTGTGAGCAAATGTACTTTCCTCCTCCACACTCCAAGCTTCAAGCCCAATTTAGTTCTCCTTTGCAGAGATTGCATGCCAGATCATTCACATGCAGCATTTTGTACAGGTCAAAGATTTGCCAGCAGCCATTGCAATTTAATATAAAACAACTTTGCTTTCAATAGAAGCAATGAAATATTGACCTCAGTCACATAGCACTGTACATTTGTTCAGCCTTATCAAGTATGAGCTGCACATTTTTATCCTACCAGGTAGAATGAGAAACAAATAGCAGTGGGCTTACTGAATTAGTCCGTGAACCGCTCACTGCTTGGCTCAGGGCTTTAACTAATAGGGAATGGAATGAAGCAGCTGGATATGCAATCCAATACTGCCCAAACAAATGCAAAATCCTGGAGATGCTGGGAATCTGAAATAAAAACAAAATATGCTGGAAATAGTCATCAGGCTTGCTGCCTGAAACATGTTTCAGATCTTTCATCAAAACTGCCCATCCTTGTTCAACATTAGGAGAATACCTCCTGGTTTTGTGATTTAAGATTTGAAAGCATGCAATGAAGTACAACACCAGCTAGCATCTTAACATTTCAAAGGTCTCATTTGGAGCCTAATCTGTCAACAGTATCTCAGTTTATCAAAAATAGACTCTCAAAAAATACATTTGGAAAGAATACTAGACAGAGTCTTTTCCTGTAAAGAGAGCTATATATTTAGAATAAGCTGGCAGTCGAAGTAACAGAGACGTATCTATTAATGACAGTCAAAGTACAGTTGGATTTTAGGCGAGCTTGCTTGAATACTGGAGGAGTGGACTTTGGGTTCAGTGAATCTTACTTCTGTCGTAGTTTATGCACATATATTTCTTGGTCACGTTATTTGTTTTTAAAATTGTAACATACAACGTTAGGCAACAGAAAACCATCCCGGTTATGTTTCAGTTCAAAAACAAAACGATGCATGACATCAAAAGTGAGCAAGTTAATGTGCAAAATTAATTGCAAGCCTTCAGTTTGGTTGTACTCCCACAGTAGTTTGTGGGTTCAAGCCCCACTTCAGGACTCGAGTTTGTTCTTTTGATTTAATATAGTATTGTGGTGTCCTGCTGAATATTAGAGGCACTGTAGTTTTGAAATGTTAAAGTGAGACATAATAGCTGCCTGCTTCGGTAGTTTTGTGTGATGTTTAAATATTAGCATTTATAAAAGAGCTGGGAGCATTCGGTGTCTTTCCTGGGTATTGCCAACTAAAATAGTATGATATTAACTAGTTCATCTCTTTGCTGTTTATGACACTTCATATCACAAATTGGCCATTGTATACATAAGCTACATACAAGCCCAGGTTGATGAGAAAATATCTAGATGTAGGTTTTCCCCTTGAATTGGCATTCTTGCAAATTGTCCTGATAAGTGCAAAATGAAAAGCTTTTACAAAATGAGTAATTTCTTAGCAATATTTAGGCATGTTCATTGAGCTCCAGCAAAAACACAAGCCTTAAGTTTATGTAACAGCTTTAAGCTTTCCACTGAAAAGACCCAATCAGTTCCATTCAGAGATATTATGACATGTCTTTGGAGCAGGTAGAACCTGGGCTCCTGGCCCAGAGCTAATAAGTTGGCATGTGGACTAATTGGAAGAGGAGAATGCACGATTGACAGTTACCTATCAGATTTGTTTACATTTTAAACCAAGCAGTTTGATTCTGACTGGTCGAGGTATTGCCCTAAGAAATGATCCAGTACAGGGCAGTTATCTTTTTCTGTTGAATTGAAACAGGTCGAATGTATGTAGATTTTTTTTTTTGCCTGCAAAGAACCAAGTTCTGTGTATTAACATGTATAGCTTCCAGTGTAAGAAAGAAGATAGTTAAAACAGCCGATGATGCCACTCCACATGAAAATCAGCTGTGTTAACTTTTTATCGCTCCATATCTCTTCAATCTCCTCCAATCCTATATTCCCCAGAACTTTGGTCTCTGTGCGTTCCTGCCACATCTTGTCCCAACATTGCCTTCAGCTGTAAAGGCTCGAAATTCTGCAATCCCTGCCCAAAACCTCTTTGCTATCTCTTTAAATAAGCTTTTTAACCAACCCTTCCATTTTTCTCCTTTTTCTGACTGACCAGGTGTCCAATTTTGTTTACTTAGAATCGTTTTGAAACATCCTGAGATATGTTATGTATAAACAAAATTTGATTTAAAACAATGGCCAACATACTGAAAATATTTTTGTTTAAAAGTTGTTTGTTCCCTTATCTATTAATGATTCCACTGTGAAAAGTTAAACATTTGAAGATGGGGTTCCTGTAAATTAAAATCCAGAACAACTTTAAGGATTCAAAGGATTCATGTTGTGGACTTGATGACAAATCCAGACATAGTTAAATTGTCAGCGTAGCTCTTGTGCAGTCTTCTCAATGATTTTATCAAACTTTTTATAAATAAAACCAACATCATCAAAATGTATAAACTTGCATTGTTAGGTTATGCAAGGCCATTGAAATCACTGAGATAAGGGTCTACAGTGTCTTAAACTGTCAATGTAATCCACAATCTTTTGCTCTTTCCCCACTGGGACAAGAGTACTATTTAACTATGATTTATCTTGACAATTTAAGACTGATTTAAACGATTTTCTCATTTCTCTAATTACAAAATATTAATAATTCATTATGCAGCATCAATGGATTGACGCATCACTGGGTAAACACAAGGCCCATGGGGCTGCTGAGACATTCTCAAAGATCAGTCATAGATTCACTGTGGTTTATGCTGGGAAGCTGCTTTAAGCCAGGATGACAGTGGACTGGTGCAGAGTCCCTGAGTTGTTGTGAAAGTGAAGAAGAGTAAATCTGTTTGGGTTACTGCTTCTGATATCCATTCACCAACTTCCTGGTGGAAGGCGCAAGTTTAGTGTTTGTCTTAGTTTATGTGGGAACAGAATCGGGCTGCGCTGCGATGCCTTCCTCAGCATTTAGTACTCGGCTGCATTTGTGACTGGATGATTTCCAGGTGGCAGTGGAGCAGGTTATGGCTGTCAAATTTAAATACCTCACATTGCCTGTCATTAACTGCTTCAGTCATGTTACACATCACTAATACCTGCATGCTTTAGGTGGCCAGTTTGGCTTGGTGAAAAAATTATTTAACCAATCTCTTTAGATATATTATGACGCACCTCCAGGTAGGTGTGACTTGAACCCAGACCTACTGTCCCAGAATTAGGGACATTATCACTGCACCACAAAAGCCCTAAGGTTTTGCTTGATGATGTAGAGGAAACATCGAGAAAGACTTTCACCTACTTAATTAATATACTCTAGCAAATGTATTTTTAAGTTAGAATGTTGATTGATCTGTTAAGTTGATGATGTCATCATAATCCTTGCCTCAGTGCTGAGCTCCTGAGCGCTGATGGTAATGCTGCAGGGAATCTGGTGAAAATGTGAATTGGCCTGAGCAAGGACCGAGCACCCCTCCCTTCAACTACCCATTGTACTGGCCAAGGAAATTCTCGTCTTTTTCTGTAGGCTACCCGTTTTGAATGAGGCACCAGATGGTGAAACTGTACCTTGGAATTAATACTTATGGTAGAAAAATGCACTTGAGGTGCCAGTAAGGTATAGAACTGGACTTGCTGATAAAATATTATATTTTGTCAAGTTTATAAAACAGTTATTTTATTGAACATGCCACTGAAATATAAATGTTTAAAATATAAGTTCAGATCTCAGCCCTTTTGGAAGTTATTTTCCTGTAAACAGTTGTCATGTAGTACACCAAAGACATGGAATGACAATTTTAGGCAGATTTTTATAGGCAGCTTAATAATTAAACATGTCTTGGTTTCCTCATTCATTCTAATGCCCTGAAATTTCATCTGTTTGCGTTGTTGAATGTATTTTTATTTCTGGTTCATGTATGATTCCAGAAATTGGTGTGTAGTTACTAAACAGCATTGCAGAACTCTGTATTGCATACAAACTGAAAGAGGAGGTATCAATATGCATTTGTCTGTTCAAGTATCTGATGGTAACTTCATTTTGGTCACTCTTGTCAAA